TGGAGAATACTTCGAACACGATTTTTTCGATTCTTGAAGCTACAACAATTGCTAAATGTAATTGAAGAGGATGCAAGAATTTCGATTAGAATGATATTGGCTTTTCTTCATTTTATTGATATCATGGACAACAAAATGTATATTGACAATTTATGAAACCATCTTCAAACCATAGTAGAGATAAGTATGAAATATAATGTCATTCTTATCTGAAACAACGATTCGATGTTTATAATACAATTCTATACAATATTCCGAAATGCAGACATAAATATTCTTAAAATCATCAAATATAAATAAGTCAGAACATTTGTGGAAATATGTGGATTGAAAAATTTGGTTTCATTCTTCGACATATATCTGAAAAAGATTTGGCAACATAAGTAAAAACTTCAACTACTATATCAACAAATAATTTCAAATCAAATCTGAAAATTTAAAAAAAAAAGAATTGGTTTGGTACGATGAATCAGGCGATAATCAGGCAGTTTACGCGTTTGTATTTGAGGCGTGTGGTGAAGTACGATTCCGATAGATGATCAGAGATCGCAATAAGTACACTGTATATTTTATGAGTAATAGATTCGCGTGGATCAGATGTCGCACGAAATCGTATTTGACTAATAACTGACTAATTCTTAATAACGTAATAGCATAAATAACAGTGATAGCCGAAATATGGTGGTATAACAGAAAGACTGAATTGTGAATTTGAACGCACTGATATCGCAGTGTCTGAATCAATGCTTGATTCTAATACATTGATATGATATTCATTTGTATTGATTGTATTTATGCACTATTGAATTTATTGATGCATTCTTTGAAACACACTATTTCTGTGTTCTCATTCTCCGCTGACGGCGGGCCCGTCATCAGACTATGATTTCGACGAAGTTTAAACTATCTACGAACTTTCACATTCTATCCGTTTTCATGGTTAAATTTCTTTCGTTTTCTTCTTCATTTTAATTTTTCGCTGTTTCTTTCTGTTTTTTTTTTTTT